CTGGAGTCGGTTCCTTCAGAAACCTCGGACATGCAGATAGTCCGATCAGTCTTATTGGTCCTCTGGGTGGCTGTCGGATGATAAAGAAAATGAGATTTCTGTACTTACCGTAAAATCTTTTCCTTGAAGTCCATTAAAGGGACACAGGCCCCTCCCCCTCAGTGTTTTCTCTGGCCTTCAGTGTCCCAACCTCCTGTAGGTGGCAGTATAACCCAACTGTTTCTGAACTCCTGTGTCCCTCAATGATTTTATTCTTTGTTCTTATTTTTGGCAGTTTTGATGATTTCCTCTGTCAGTGTTTGGTTTGTTTTTTTGCAGGTTTGCCACCGTTCGCTACGACCGAGCCGCCAAAAACATCAAAAACCAGTTCATGCACCTGACCAATTACAGTGTGAATAAGAAGAGTGGAGAATATGTCAGGTACCCGGGGGCCCTACAAATACGCGGACTATGTACAGCGCACATACGCGGACTATGTACAGCGCACAGACGCGGACTATGTACAGCGCACAGACGCGGACTATGTACAGCGCACAGACGCGGACTATGTACAGCGCACAGACGCGGACTATGTACAGCGCACAGACGCGGACTATGTACAGCGCACAGACGCGGACTATGTACAGCGCACAGACGCGGACTATGTACAGCGCACAGACGCGGACTATGTACAGCGCACAGACGCGGACTATGTTCAGCGCACAGACACGGACTATGTACAGCGTACATACATGTACTATATGTCCTATATTCTCCTCCTCCTCTTGTGTCCTCTCTTAGCTGTGATGACCCAGAAGTGGAGGATTATGGGAATAAATGGAGTATGAGTGCAATGCTGCGATACCTGAAGCAGGAAGGGAAGGACACGGCAGGTACTATGACAGTCCTCAGACCTCCCCCGGCCCCCGTATGCCTCCAGTCCTCAGACCTCCCCCGGCCCCCGTATGCCTCCAGTCCTCAGACCTCCCCCGGCCCCCGTATGCCTCCAGTCCTCAGACCTCCCCCGGCCCCCGTATGCCTCCAGTCCTCAGACCTCCCCCGGCCCCCGTATGCCTCCAGTCCTCAGACCTCCCCCGGCCCCCGTATGCCTCCAGTCCTCAGACCTCCCCCGGCCCCCGTATGCCTCCAGTCCTCAGACCTCCCCCGGCCCCCGTATGCCTCCAGTCCTCAGACCTCCCCCGGCCCCCGTATGCCTCCAGTCCTCAGACCTCCCCCGGCCCCCGTATGCCTCCAGTCCTCAGACCTCCCCCGGCCCCCGTATGCCTCCAGTCCTCAGACCTCCCCCGGCCCCCGTATGCCTCCAGTCCTCAGACCTCCCCCGGCCCCCGTATGCCTCCAGTCCTCAGACCTCCCCCGGCCCCCGTATGCCTCCAGTCCTCAGACCTCCCCCGGCCCCCGTATGCCTCCAGTCCTCAGACCTCCCCCGGCCCCCGTATGCCTCCAGTCCTCAGACCTCCCCCGGCCCCCGTATGCCTCCAGTCCTCAGACCTCCCCCGGCCCCCGTATGCCTCCAGTCCTCAGACCTCCCCCGGCCCCCGTATGCCTCCAGTCCTCAGACCTCCCCCGGCCCCCGTATGCCTCCAGTCCTCAGACCTCCCCCGGCCCCCGTATGCCTCCAGTCCTCAGACCTCCCCCGGCCCCCGTATGCCTCCAGTCCTCAGACCTCCCCCGGCCCCCGTATGCCTCCAGTCCTCAGACCTCCCCCGGCCCCCGTATGCCTCCAGTCCTCAGACCTCCCCCGGCCCCCGTATGCCTCCAGTCCTCAGACCTCCCCCGGCCCCCGTATGCCTCCAGTCCTCAGACCTCCCCCGGCCCCCGTATGCCTCCAGTCCTCAGACCTCCCCCGGCCCCCGTATGCCTCCAGTCCTCAGACCTCCCCCGGCCCCCGTATGCCTCCAGTCCTCAGACCTCCCCCGGCCCCCGTATGCCTCCAGTCCTCAGACCTCCCCCGGCCCCCGTATGCCTCCAGTCCTCAGACCTCCCCCGGCCCCCGTATGCCTCCAGTCCTCAGACCTCCCCCGGCCCCCGTATGCCTCCAGTCCTCAGACCTCCCCCGGCCCCCGTATGCCTCCAGTCCTCAGACCTCCCCCGGCCCCCGTATGCCTCCAGTCCTCAGACCTCCCCCGGCCCCCGTATGCCTCCAGTCCTCAGACCTCCCCCGGCCCCCGTATGCCTCCAGTCCTCAGACCTCCCCCGGCCCCCGTATGCCTCCAGTCCTCAGACCTCCCCCGGCCCCCGTATGCCTCCAGTCCTCAGACCTCCCCCGGCCCCCGTATGCCTCCAGTCCTCAGACCTCCCCCGGCCCCCGTATGCCTCCAGTCCTCAGACCTCCCCCGGCCCCCGTATGCCTCCAGTCCTCAGACCTCCCCCGGCCCCCGTATGCCTCCAGTCCTCAGACCTCCCCCGGCCCCCGTATGCCTCCAGTCCTCAGACCTCCCCCGGCCCCCGTATGCCTTCAGTGTCCCAACCTCCTGTAGGTGGCAGTATAACCCAGCTGTTTCTGAACTCCTGTGTCCCTCAATGATTTTATTCTTTGTTCTTATTTTTGGCAGTTTTGATGATTTCCTCTGTCAGTGTTTGGTTTGTTTTTTTGCAGGTTTGCCACCGTTCGCTACGACCGAGCCGCCAAAAACATCAAAAACCAGTTCATGCACCTGACCAATTACAGTGTGAATAAGAAGAGTGGAGAATATGTCAGGTACCCGGGGGCCCTACAAATACGCGGACTATGTACAGCGCACATACGCGGACTATGTACAGCGCACAGACGCGGACTATGTACAGCGCACAGACGCGGACTATGTACAGCGCACAGACGCGGACTATGTACAGCGCACAGACGCGGACTATGTACAGCGCACAGACGCGGACTATGTACAGCGCACAGACGCGGACTATGTACAGCGCACAGACGCGGACTATGTACAGCGCACAGACGCGGACTATGTACAGCGCACAGACGCGGACTATGTTCAGCGCACAGACACGGACTATGTACAGCGTACATACATGTACTATATGTCCTATATTCTCCTCCTCCTCTTGTGTCCTCTCTTAGCTGTGATGACCCAGAAGTGGAGGATTATGGGAATAAATGGAGTATGAGTGCAATGCTGCGATACCTGAAGCAGGAAGGGAAGGACACGGCAGGTACTATGACAGTCCTCAGACCTCCCCCGGCCCCCGTATGCCTCCAGTCCTCAGACCTCCCCCGGCCCCCGTATGCCTCCAGTCCGGCCCTAATCCTGGATGTCCTTCTTCCAGGTCTCATGTCTCAGGTGGAAGATTTGATCATTAAAACGATTATCTCCGGAGAACTTCCCATCGCTGCCGCTTGTAAATCCTTCCTTCCTAACAGAGGAAACTGCTTTGGTGAGTGCGTGGCTGTGCTGCCCTCCCTGGGGGGAGAAGTGGCTGTGCTGCCCTCCCTGGGGGGAGAAGTGGCGGTGCTGCCCTCCCAGGGGGGAGAAGTGGCTGTGCTGCCCTCCCAGGGGGAGAAGTGGCGGTGCTGCCCTCCCAGGGGGGAGAAGTGGCGGTGCTGCCCTCCCAGGGGGGAGAAGTGGCGGTGCTGCCCTCCCTGGGGGGAGAAGTGGCGGTGCTGCCCTCCCAGGGGGGAGAAGTGGCTGTGCTGCCCTCCCAGGGGGGAGAAGTGGCTGTGCTGCCCTCCCAGGGGGGAGAAGTGGCTGTGCTGCCCTCCCAGGGGGGAGAAGTGGCGGTGCTGCCCTCCCAGGGGGGAGAAGTGGCGGTGCTGCCCTCCCAGGGGGGAGAAGTGGCTGTGCTGCCCTCCCTGGGGGGAGAAGTGGCTGTGCTGCCCTCCCAGGGGGGAGAAGTGGCTGTGCTGCCCTCCCAGGGGGGAGAAGTGGCTGTGCTGCCCTCCCTGGGGGGAGAAGTGGCGGTGCTGCCCTCCCAGGGGGGAGAAGTGGCGGTGCTGCCCTCCCAGGGGGGAGAAGTGGCGGTGCTGCCCTCCCAGGGGGGAGAAGTGGCTGTGCTGCCCTCCCTGGGGGGAGAAGTGGCTGTGCTGCCCTCCCAGGGGGGAGAAGTGGCGGTGCTGCCCTCCTTGGGGGGAGAAGTGGCTGTGCTGCCCTCCAGTGGTTGCTTGTATTACTGTTTCCATGTTGTTTTCCCGCAGAGCTGTATGGCTTTGATGTGCTGATCGACAGCAAGATGAAGCCCTGGCTTTTGGAAGTCAATCTATCCCCATCACTGGCCTGGTGAGTATACAAGTCCCGATGATTGCACAGTGCCCCCGGTGGTCAGTGTGAGTCTCTGTATTGTTACCCCGATGATTGCACAGTGCCCCCGGTGGTCAGTGTGAGTCTCTGTGTTTTTACCCCGATGATTGCACAGTGCCCCCGGTGGTCAGTGTGAGTCTCTGTGTATTGTTACCCCGATGATTGCACAGTGCCCCCGGTGGTCAGTGTGA